CATAATGCCCATCTATCGTATTAAACACTAGGTAATTTAAAATAACATATCCATCATCCGCGTAAATAGTACCATTTAAACTTGGTATAATATATCTTTCATCACTATAATGTATAAATATAATGGTAGAGTTAGAGGATATTAGAAAAATTATGGATTGTATATTACAAATCGAGTTCTCGAAATAATTTTCTTGAAAGGATTTCGTTTGGATCATGTCTTTTATAAATACTTACGAGAATTCGTATATAGTCCAAGTCAGGTTAGTTGAATTCTCGTGATCTTGTTTTGCAATCAAAAATCCTTTCAACAAATCATTGTATATTGGTATAGATAACGAGGATTGGTAAGATGAAAAATCTTGGCTATAAAAATTTTTAATGTTAATATTGTATACATTTTATATATGAATTTATAAAATATGTGTAATGTGAATATGGACCTTGACTTAAAATTACCATGCCAATCAATGACAACTCCATGATAAGTGTCATTAATTTGATAAGTCATGAAAATGTTATTCGTTGATAATGGAAAACTTTCTAGGAAGTTACTGCCATTACAATTTGGTATACTTTCATACTGAACCGGAATGATACTCCCATTTGTAAAAAAGAGGTATAGATAAACGTTATTATTTTCGCGATTAAAATCATCAGCTGTAAAATTCTGAGTCGTAATTAGAAGTGTCTCATCATCATACTGTCTTATGCTTGATAAATTTCCATATACTGCAATCGGAAATGTAAAGATAGAACAATCTACGCGATAACCCATAATTATTAAGAAAAATAATAAGGTAATAAATTTTTTCATATTGTCATAAATCAAAATCGAATTAATCAAATTCAAAAACAAATCGCCAAAATTAAAGTCTTTTCATGGAAAAATCAGGGATATATAAACCTAGTGATTCGCAATTTTATATATATTCTTTATATAAACAGGGCCGATGATTTTCTATGATGATAAATATCACCGCAGAAATCATATATTTATCCCATATTATAAGTCATATAACGCAATTTTAGAACATCAAAATGCTTAACCACAAAAAATTTTAGTATTGCAAAAACTTTGGTAATTCATATAACATTTATCATTATTAATATAGGAGATCTTTAATAATATTTAATCATTTTCGTAATTAATTTCATTAAAATTTATGAATAAAATATATGTACAGAAAATGGGATCATTACTCCAAACGTAATTCTTATGCTTATGTAGTAATGTGAAATAACTGAATACATATAAGAAAGGTTAGTATATCAGTTAACTGCATATCGTCACAAATAAATTTATACTTGTCAAATTGAACAATTAGTAACAAAACTTATTTGAGCACAATATAATAAATGGGCAAAACAGTTTAAACATTCTCTGGCTGATTTACGATCCAATAAATGGTGAAATATTTTGTATTTAATGTTAGAAATACACCAATATCCTTTTGAGGTTTTTTTCACAGTGAACATCATTATTGGTCCAAAGCTACTGGTAGCGTACTTTAAAACGCACAAATGCATTACCCAGCAATTGATTTGCATTAGACAAATTTCTATG